ACATTATCTATAATTTTGTGTTAAATTGTTTTAGCTCTCTGTAAGAAGCCAGTAGCTGAACAACCTTTTACAGAAAATATGGCAGCACTTTTGACATTTTGATCTTGCCTGTTAATTCGCGTGCCTATTGTAACATGTTGTTATTTGGGAATAAACGATTATTATCATCATTAGAAATCTTGATGGTAGACACTTCACAAGCCAAATTTACCAGGTAGTGATAAATCCAGAAACCGCATTAGACCTAAACCACTGCCAATATTCATTTAAAAATCGATCTGCAAATACGTAATTCTAGAATATCGGCTAACATGTCTCTAAGTTTCTTAAAAATTCCTTATCTTGATTTATTGCTCAATGCTTTGGCTTTCTCTTGTGGAACGCCATGAATGTAGTTGCATATAGGAGCTTATATTTAATGCAAAGTAACGACTCAAGGTAGAAAACTTACTTGTTGTTTTCGAATGGTTGTGGATCATTTTAAGATTTTCGAAAATTGAGCTTTAGTTGAGCCATCTCCATCACCTTATGTAACTATCATAGTGGCGTCTTGAGGTCTAGGATCAATAAAGATTTATAATATTTCGAGGGCTATTTAAGAAAATATAAGCTACCAGCATATACCTTTCGTCCGCGATTTTACCTATAGAATCTTTTCGACTGATCATTAATAATCACCATGTTTTGAACAATCTAGGTGGAGAATGATGCCGAATGCGTACTTAATGGTGTAGGGTGTTGAAAACTAGACGATGCTAAGTAGAAGGTACAATGGGACTATGTAGACCCGTAGAAGTACCACAGCGGCCACAGGTAGTTCCTGGCACTAATAGGATGTAGAGCTTGCTACTTCCTTACAAGAAGAATAGCGTGCTTGGGCAGCAGCCATAGCGGGCTGGTCGAGCACAGGTGAAGTGCATTTATTTGGCCAATTGACAGAGCGTCAGCAACATAGTTCGATTAACTATTAGTGTGACGAAGGTATATCGTGAACAGGGAGATATAGCCTGAATTTCTGGATTCTCATAGCGAGTAACTAACAGACTTGGCATGTAAAGCATACGTTAGAGGCTTATGGTCTGTGAATAAGATGGATTCACGACCTTCTACTGCGTGCCAAAAAGGTTTGACGGAACAATAGGCTCCTATGACTTCTTGACCCAAAACACTATGTCTTGTCTCAGTGGAGAGGCTTCGTGTAAAAGTTCCTAGCTGTCATCTTCTAGGATGTCTTGTTGCATAACAACTCCTATAGCGGATTCTGATGCATCAACATATATGCTGAGCGTGGTTGATGGATCAAGATGAGCAGGGATGTGGCTCATGCCAAAGGCGTTTCGATCTCTGTTAGTGCAGTACGCGCGGCACCGGCTAACTTGAAATAAGTTGGTTAGTGGTCGTAATCGTCATGCTGCGTGTGAGATGAAACGATGGCAAGGATTGATGAAATCGGGGAATGCCTTTGAGTGTGGACAGTAAAGTGTGCTCCGTTACTGCACGTACTTTATCCTCACAAGGTAGGATGCCTTCATGCTTAGTGGAGTGAACAAAGGATTTCATTTCCGATTTTCCTAGTTCGCACTTTTCCGGGTTAACCATTATTCGCTTATCGGATAGACGTTAGAAGATCAGTGTTAAGTCACGATAACGTTCATCTACGCTTGATAATGTGGTGAGCAGGTCATCAATATCGACGTGGAAGAAATCCAAGACTCGTTTTATGCTATCGATAAAGCTTTGGAAAGACTGAGCAGCATTCCGTAGACCGAATGGAAGTTCTAGGAACCCAAAGAGATCGAAATCAGTCGTGATAGTGGCTTTTTGACATCTTCAGAAGCGTCTGGAATCTGATGGTATGCTCATAACAGATCGATCGTAGAGAAAATAGTCGTGCACTTGAGTGGCGCAGTGATGTTGGGTAAGTGGGGGATAGGAAAGTTATGAAAACGAGTGGCTAGGTTCAGTGCATTGTGACCGTCACACGGTCTAACGCCATCTTTCTTGTGAGTCATGTGGTGAGGGGAGGCCTATGGACTGTGAGGAGGATAAATGGGACATGTAGCATGCAAAGTTTTGGACTCAAACTTAGGGAAAACTAAATTGCCTTGTGCCAGTAGGCAGGGTTATTCGGTGACTGGGGATCCAAGGGTGACAATATGGTGCACCACACAGTCAGCCAACGATGCGATCTCTTCCAGAGGTTCAGTTAACTGGGGGGACTTAGTAAACAAAGCATGAAATACATTACTATGACAAGAAAATTCACCGATAATTCGATACGGATCTGTTCGAACGTTGAGATCCGTAAATTTAATATACGACAAAGTATTGATTCACTGCAAACTACGTGAATTGACTAGCAATTCATAGTGCTGCAAGAAATCGGTAGAGTTTAGCTGTGGGGACATCCGCAAGGATGAACATTCACAGATACTTTTACCGGTTGCTTAAGTTGATCGTTAGCTGCTGTGTTCCGTAGGCAGAAATTTCAGAGCGATTCGTATGACGCAGTCAAAGCGTTGAAACTTGCTGCTACCAGCTGGCATGCCTGTAACATGGGCGCCTGTGTCAATCAGGTACCTAGCATTAGTGCGGTAATCGTCCACATAAAACAAATGAGATGAAGGGCCGGTAAGTAAGGCCTCATTTATTCGCCGGTATGTGGGTCTTTTATGTTTTGGGTCTCCCGCCTAGTATAAGCCTGTAGTTCTAAAACGATGGGCACCAGGTCCGGAGACGAGGTGGAACCAACAAAACATAGTGTGAGATTCTGTAGCGGAACATGCTCACTATGGGTGATCTGGAGTCACAGCCTGACGTGGTCGAGATAGGGCTCGAGAAAAAACGGGGTGCCAGGGCTTTGACACGGCCTCGAAATGTGAGACGACTATGGATGCAGCCATCCATATCCCTGTGAAATGGGCGACGACGACGTAGAGACAACTAAACAGCTATTCCCTACACTAGTTTTTAGGATGATTTTGTCTGCTATGAGAGCAACCATAAAAGAGGTGTATCCTCGAGAAATGCTGTGATTGTGGGCTGTAGCTGCCACGATAGTGCTTCCAGCCTAATTTCTCCGAAAATGTCGGCTGTAGCTGTTGCGTTTCGCGTCAGTGACTGGAGGCGAGCAAGATGGGGGCTAGGCTTAACATCACCTAGGGAGTTTATTAACCGCGGATAAATCAGTTAGCTTATGCCGGCTGATGAAAAAGAGATTGGATATTGTGTAACTTCAGCCTTTGGTGAGTATGTGTTTATCTGGAAGGTACCTTGAGGGTAGTGTGAGGTAAACTGGACGAGGAAAGAACAGAAGAGATGAGCCGTCGACTCAGTAAGCTCATACATCGAACTTACATTTGATAAAGAACACAATCAAAAACAACCAGAAATATTAAAAGTGTGAGATCAAGACAAACTGGTTATCGGGAGTCGAAGTTGGTATAGTAAAGTTTCAAATGCGTTACAATTGGATATATCATAATCAGCGCTCTTTGAGCTAGCCAATGAAAATTTGGCTCTTCCTTCAATTTTTGTCCCATACGAAACCAGTGGGGTGACTGTATTCATTGTCAATAAGTATAGATGTTATATGTTCATGTTATGCTTACAAGATTTACTTACTCCTGGTTTCAAAATTCACCACACAGCAGAGTTTGGCTTTCTTTTACAAGGGATTTCAGTATTATAAAGATAACACTAGCTTTCCATGTTTATAAGTGAAATTAGACTTTTAGTTGCTATAGATTCTCACCCTATTTGTAGTATGGATTATTTTCCCCTCATGTTTTATTAGGTCATATGTAATTACTATATTAGCTGTTTAGGATAAATGATTGTACACGTGTACCAACAAGACGATATTTTAATCATATGATCTATGCATATGGTTTCATGGAACAAATAGTTTTACATCGGATCTAGCAAAAGATTTTGTCATTGTTATTAGTAGCAAAGAGATTACATGCTCTGGATACTACATCAGTAGTAACCTCCCATTTCATCGGAATTTACAACAATGACCTTTTATAGATTGTGGATAATTTCCACAAATCTTAACCTGCGACACGATGATCATTTAATACCGTTGATGGATAAAATACCATTTAAGTTTCTAAGTATATCCTCATCTCTTTGTAATACGGTATCGGCTTATTGCTATTGACTAACCTCGAAGAAATCCCCAGATTGTTGTAGTTTAGTGTAGTTTAGTGCGTGCACGCCTTACTTTAAGCCTTGAGAGGACGCTCCACTCGTTGTAACATCACAACTCTGTCACGAAATGCAATCTCGTATGATCACTGATCTACAGATATTACTCAATAAAACAAGTATTACTTATATTTTCCTGGAAATTTACTCATTTCTAATTCAGTAGCCCTTTATTTGCTTCATACTATTTATATTTTCAAGCCACCGATAAGGGTTTCATGTATTTACTTTGGAAATATGATAAGTTATGCTGAATTAATTTTTGCAGTGGGTCTATTTGTACAATGAATAAGTGGATACATACCTAATTAAGGTGTGTTGTGGAAAAACCATTTGTTAATCCATGCTTCATCACACCTTATAACATAGAATTATTAAAAGATTTGAACTTATACGCAGTGTAAATGAAATATAAAAATTCTCAATTAAAATAGGTCGATGTAGAAAGCATATAGGCAGAAAACCTTTTAAGTATGATAATTTCAATCAAAGTACCATGAGGGAGTTTTTCTGCTTTTACTCTTACTTCAGAAAGCATTCGAGCTTAGGTCGGTAGTTGTCAGATGTACTTAACATGTTTCAATCACTTTATTCAACACAATTTTACATCATCTACCAGGTCGGTGTTTTACATGGCATTTCTTAACATTTCTTAAAATTATTATTATTATTATTATTATTATTATTATTATTATTATTATTATGAAATAGATATTGCATTCGTGCATTGGATAAATCTTTTTTTCTGTAGATTTCTAGTTGATTCGCAAATTTACGCATGCAGAATTATGGGTAATACTCCACCCCACCATAAAAGACGTTTTTCTGGGGAAAGTTCTGGTGGATTCCCAAACCCTACACCACCTAGTGTCAGTGTTATTACCCCTCCATCAAAAAAACGAAATACGCATAGTTTAACAGTAAGTAACTTTGCGTGACATTAATAATGTTATGAGTGGCTTATGATGTATAGTCATGCTGATTATCTGCTTTGATGTAAATTGTTGAGCGAACCAAATGTAAAATTAGATTGAATACTCATCACTCATGACACACAGTTGTGTCTGAATTTAAGATAAACAAAGATCATCAACAGCAACGTAAAACTTTGTACTTCAGTACAGCAGTTCAAGTTGCCATACCACATTAGCACAGAGATATAATTGTCAGTTCAAATCCCATAGTAGTAGGGGTAGTAAAAGTATTAGAAGTAATCGGAGAGATTAGGGTTCGAAGTGAAATAAACTTAAAAAGGAAAAGATAAAGGTGATGAAGAATTCAGAAGGTTAGGATTTGAGAGAACACAAAAAATGAATGCACCTGCGCCATTGCAAACGGTTTTGAGCCATGTCATTCAATGTCTCTAACCATCGATTATTATCATCTCGCGGACCCAACCAGGTAGCCTACATCTGCCAACATGACTCAGCCCACTTGTCAGTGACTCCATGGATTTTTGCTATGTTTTGGTCTGGCGGTCCCTAGCTTTCGTCCAACCTATTCCTACATCGCAAAACATAGCTCTATGAGGCAGTCGGTGGTTAGGCATTCGTAACACATGTCCCAACTACCTCAACTGATGAAGTTTCATTACTTCATCTATTGACCTGCCATCCTTACCCAGCACCCGTTTCCTAACGAAAGCATTGCTTACTCGGTTGTCCCACTATACTCGAGCAATCTTCGGAGACACCTATGGTCGAAAGCAAGTAACCTACGAACATCTACTCTTACTGACCATGTTTCACAGCCATAAAGTAGGACGGAGCGAACTACCGCGCAGTACACTCGTCCTTTGGTCAGCAAACAGATATCTCGCCTACGCCATAGGTGACGCAAGTTGGCATAGCTGAGATTTCGTCAGTTACGAGGCCATCGGCACTGATGAGACTCCCGAGATAAGTGGAGCGGTCAACACGCTCAACTACTTCACTCCCTTTCACTAGTTCAGGTGCCGATGCAACCCAATCTTGAAGCAACATTTTGCATTTGGAGAGAGAAAACCTCATTTTGAACATACTTGCATTGTTGCTTAGGGTAGTCGGAAGACTCTGCATTTTGTCAGCGTCTTCACCGAATAAAACTATGTCATTGGCATATTATAAGTCAGCAAGCGATCCTCCTGGTAGAAGGTCCACCCCTGAAAAATCTGACGAGGATAATGTTAACTCTAAAAGTATGTCTACAACAGAGTTAAACAAGAGTGGGGAGAATGGACATCCCTGACGGACGCCCCTTGAAGTAGAGAATTCCGATGACAGTTCGCCATAAGCTCTAACTCGACCAGCGGTGTTCAAGTACAGAGCTTGCATAAGGTTAATGTACTTTTTTGGTACATCTTTTAATGACAGACACTGCCACAGTACCTCACGATCAACAGAGTCAATTGCAGCCTAAAGGTCCATGAAGGCAACTATTGTCGGACGCCTAAATGTGTGTTTGTGTTCCAGGTACTGTCGTAGTGCGAAAATGTGGTCTATACAGCCGCTTCCAGGTCTGAAATAAACGAAGATAGAAAATGTTCAGTGTTAAATTATTGCGGAACAACCTAATGTATTATTAATATTAAAAAATTGAAACTTATCGTTCATTCCTATATAGGTTATCGGACATAGGCACTAATGAAGAGACTTAAATTAAATTTCTGCTCATGCTTTTAATGCAAATTCATCAGTGTTTTTTGACCCAGTCACTCTTTGACGATACAAGAGGTGACTCTATTTTATATCGGTCACAGTTGGAACATCTCACATCAGAAAAGTGGTAGTGGGTCAGTTCGCAACAACGTAAATAAAACTTCGTACCTACGTACATCAGTTCAAGTTGCTATACCACATTAGCGCAGAGACGCAAATGAGAAAGCCGAAAAAAATACAGACGTTAGTGATACTAAGATCATAATCATCATCGAGCTTGATATGTGTCGTAGCTCGTTTCCGTACCAATATCTGCGTGGACGTCGCTGCATCCAATTTTAATCCGTTACCAAACATCTCTCTAGCAGTACATTACGATTATCTTGCCGATACTAACCTCAGAGTTATAACCCCCATAAAGAGGAATTTTATGAATTGATGTTATGTCTTAGCTTGATTGCTACTTGTTTTCTTCCAGCCTACTTTTATACTAGTTAGTACTGTCTATTTGATCGGTGGTGGTTCTACCTGATGGCTCTATCTTGCAAAACAATACTACAAATACACCTATAGCTAATTAATTGCAATCTTCTACGTTCAAGGACAGTATTTTACTGTCTTAATTTCATTGTATTGATATTTTCTGAGGAGAATAAGTTATAAATTTTTCCAAAAGAACTAAACACTAAGCATCAGTCAACTTAGTACATCATTATTCATGTCTATCCGACTGCCTCGTCGAGCCTTGTTTTGTAGTGTAGGAATAGGTTGGAAGAAAGTTAGGGGCGGCCAAACCAAAACATGGCACAAATCCATAAATTCACTGACATGTGGACTGAGCCATGTCGGTAATTGTCGACTACCTTGTTGGGGTCCGCGAGATGAAAGTAATCGATGGTTAGAGACCTTGAACGACATGGCTCAAAATCGTTTGCAATGGCGCAAGTGCATCCATTCATTGTATTCTCTCTAATTCTAATCTTCTGGATTCTTCAGCATCTCTAGTTTTTACTTTCTAAACTTATCTCATTTAATCATACTTCTTGAATAATATCTTTTAATCTTAACCTCTCCGATTACTTCTAATACCTTTACTACCTCTACTACTATTGGAATTGAATTGACAATTACAAAATCTCTGTGCTAATGTGGTATGGCAACATGAACTGATGTACTTACGGTACTAATTCCTACGTTGCATCTGACTGACTGACTGACCGAATGAATCATTCATTATATTTTCACTATAGGGTTGTGAAGATGATTGAGTTTATTTGAAATCGTTTGCGCTCAATATCAAAGGTTCTGAAATTCGATTCTCGCTAGTGAAAGTCATGGATGCACATTGTTGATGAGTACTATAACTAGGATCAAACGGCTGTCCAATGTTCTACGTTTCCAATATATTGATTGGTCTATCATTGATCAATTCACTATATCTCAAAGTCATTCATTTTAATGTTAAAAATCATTATCATTTTTCTTTTTTGTGTTTTTTTTGTCCTACATCTATCTACCAACAATTTTTTTTTTACGTTTCAGTTTTAGTCATAACTACTAATCAACTTTCATAGATAATAATTATTTCCTTCTTTGCTCGCCTGGTGACTGACGAAATCTCAGCGCGGATACAGAAGGCTCGATTGGCCTATGCCAACCTGCGTCACTTATGGCGTAGGCGTGATATCCGTTCGCTAACCAAAGGGCGGGAGTACTGCGCAGCAGTTCGTTCCGTTCTCTTATATGGCTGTGAAACATGGCCGTTAAGAGTAGAAGATGTTCGTAGGTTACTAGTATTCGATCATAGATGTTTAAGAAGCATCGCTCGTATATCGTGGGACAGCCGAGTAAGCAATGCTAACGTTAGGAAACGAGTACTAGGTAAGGATGGCAGATCAATAGATGAAGTGGTGAAACTTCATCAGTTGAGGTGGTTGGGACACGTGTTGCGTATGGCTAACCACCGACTGCCCCGACGAACTATGTTTTGTGGTGTAGGAGTAGGTTGGAAGAAAGTTAGGGGCGGCCAGACCAAAACATGGCACAAATCCATGAAGTCACTGACAATTGGACTGAGTCATGTTGGTAGATGTAGACTACCTGGTTGGGGTCCGCGAGACGAAAGTCATCAATGGTTAGAGACCTTGAATGACATGGCTCAAAATCGTTTGCGATGGCGCAGGTGCATCCACTCTTTGTGTGCTTTTTGATTCTAAACTTCTGAATTCCTCATAATCTCTATCTTTGTCTTTCTAACCTTATCTCACTGAATTATATTTCTTGAATAATATCTTCGAACCCTAGTCTTCTTTATTAACATTAATACCTCTACTATCTTTATCACTATGAGATTTGATTTGACATTTGCGTCTCTGTGCTAATAATGTGGTATGGCAACATGAACTTATGTACGTACATACGTACGAAGTTCTACGTTGCAACTGACTGACTGACTGACTTGCTCGCCCCCCTTCGTTGTTGTTGTTGTTGTTGTTGTCTCATTCATTAGTTATCATTAACAAGATCAAAGAATTCAAATTGTTCGCTTTTTAAAAATAACTTTAACCAGTAGGCACTATTCTACTTTTGTTTTTTTCTAAATTGCTCATTTCTTTAAGTTGATGACCTGAATAACTTTATTAAAAAATAAAGTTTTAATGTGACATTTTCTTATAGTCGATTGGATAATCTCATATATATATATATATATATATATATATATATATATATATATATATATATATATATATAATTTTTATTTTAAAACCTTATCTAATTCATTCTTACCGTAAGCATAGTTGAAATCGATCTCAAATACATCTGTCCACTACACACACCATAACGATTATTATTAATACTATTACTATTGAATTTTTCGTTTAGAATTTATCCCGTTCTGCTCCAGCTGATTATCCAAATGATGAAATGTCAATAATGAATGATGATAGTGCTAGTCTTCATGATGAAGATACTATATCGATTGATGAAGCTACTTCAATGATGCGAGCTACTAGTCTACGTGAACCTATCAATACTATTATCAACAATGCTCCTACTCATGATAATTCTAATGCCATGAACCGATTAGGTTGTCGTCGTATTATACCATCTTCCGGTGGTGATGATGAGATGTTACTGTCTAATTTTCTTCAACAAAGACCATCTAGTGCAGATCCATCGTGTTTTATAGATGAACAACATATAATGCATAAGTTAAATCAACGATCACAATTTATGTCAAGTAATAATACTCCGACAGATCGTGCAAAAACTTTACCAACTAGGAATTTGGCTAGTTTAAAACTTCCAACTGTTTTTCGATGGAATGGTGGTGGTAAAGAGATATATATTAGTGGAACATTTAATAATTGGGAAAAAAGAATTCCTATGGTTAAAAGGTAATTAATTAATTTATGAGATGAAAAATTTAATGTGTCTTATGTTATTGTATTATTTCGTAATGATATTTTTTGGTTAGAGTGTTGTGGATTCTTCTATGCTGAATTCCAGTGCTAACCACATTCCATCTAGCGAGGGGTGGAAAACATGGCAGAAATCCATGAAGTCATTGACAAGTGGACTAAGTGAATCAAGTCGGTAGGTGTCGACTACTTGGTTGGGTCCCGCGAGATGATAATAAACGATGGTTAGAGACTTTGAATGACATGGCTGAGAATCGTTTGGAATGGCGTAGGTGCATTCATTTTTTGTGTTCTCTTAAATCCTAATCTTCTGGTTTCTTCACCACCTTTATGTTTTCCTTTTTAAGTTTATTTCACTAGTTTCTTCTTTTTGACTAATATCGTCGAACCCTAATCTCTCCGATTAATGAATTCAGGTTTATTTATTCTGGTTAGCGCTTTTTTGGTAAGTTAATTTTTTTTGGCGGGATGTGGTCGCCAACCCCATGCCCGCCCAACCCTCCTCCTTTATCCGGGCTTGGGACCGTCAGTAGCCCCGAAGGGTCTACAGGCGGAGTTCTCCAATTACTGCTAATGACTTTCACTACCTCTACTACTATGGAATTTGAAGTGACGATAATTGCATCTCTGTGTGCTAATGTGGTATGGCAATTTGAACTGATGTACGTATATACGTACGAAGTTCTACGTTGCTGAATCATCATTACATTCCACATGTAGTGAAAGAGAACACAGGTGGGGCAACCGAATTGTATTTCTCGCAAATTACAGAGTTACTCAGTAAAATTGGAAAACCATATCGTAAATCGTTAATTTGCAAAATATCAGTTCATCATATCGAGCTGGACTGTTCCTGTTGCAAAACATCAATCGATTGTCACTATTCATGCGTTTCATACAAATTCCATTGTTTTCTAACTGTTCCTTTCTTGATGTTCCCCCATATTCTGCTGCCAGACATTACGTTGACACTCACGTCATATATTACTACTTATAAGTAGCTCACACCACAGTAGTAGTAGTAAAAGAGTTTAGGTATCAAGGATCCGACCCAAGAACACATATAAATTAGAGAAGTCAAAGAAAGTTATGAGAAATTTATAAACTTAGAAATCTGCGGGAAGATAGAGTAAATGCACCGGCAACATTGCAAACGATTTTAAGCCATGTTACTCAAAGTTTCTAATCACCAGTGACAATTATCGCGCCAACTCTAACCACACAGTCTACACTTGTTAATATAATTCAGTCCATCACCACCTACTTCGGTTTAGGTATCCGGCGAGTATCCCAGCCAACTCACAACTTCATCAATTTTTTTGGCGCATAAATATTTACGTTCCCCATTTGTACCTACATTAGACAACGCTCATCGAGGCAGATAGTAGTTGGGCATACGTAACCCATGTCCCAACTACCTCAGTTGATAAATAATGAATTTGTCATCTGTCATTTTCTCATCTTTATCTACTACCACTCTATCTCTAACCCAGGCATTATTCACTCAGTGGTTCAAAAATACACGAACAATACTTTAAAGTAATGTATTGGCAAATACACAAATGTGCGTTCTCCCAAGCTGCCCGTACTATATTAGTGCAACTGGATAAAATTATCAATATGAATAGTAAAGTAGTTAAAATTGTACAGTATCAATAGTAATAAGAGAGATTAAACAGTGAGAATATGATTAGGAATCTAAAGCAAGATCAAGAGTGGTGTTGACTCTTCCGCATTATCACTGATTCTGATCTGTATTACCTAATATCTTCAATCACTGATCGTGTTTATCAGTCAGTCAGTCAGTTGCAACGTAGAACTTCGTACGTATGTACATAAGTTCAGGTTGTCACACCACATTAACACAGACACGCAAATGTCAAATCAAATCCCATAGTGATAAAGATAGTAGAGGTATTAATGGTCATGAAGAAGACTAGGGTTTGAAGATATTATTCAAGAAGTATTATTCAGTAAGATAAGGTTAGAAAGATAAAGGTAGAGGTGCTGACGAATCCAGAAGATTAGAATTTGAGAGTGCACAATGAATGGATGCACTTGCGCAATTGCAAACGATCGTGTTTATCATGTGAATATCAACCAGCCTAGTTTACACTAACCAACATCGATAATTGTTGGCTTCATGGATTGATGCCATGTTTTTGGTCTAGTCGTTTCTACGTTTTTGTTCCAACTTACTTCTATACCAGTTACATATTTAGACTTAGTAAAATATTCTGTTCACTATGTTAAAGTCTGATTTGAATTCCCAATAAATCTAATAAATATTTTATCTAAAAAAATGAAATGAAAATTTTTTGAAATGGAATTACGTTGTCTAACTTTTCTTACATTGAACGCTGATCACTGTATAATTGGCGAAATATATATATATATATATATATATATATATATATATATATATATATATATGGCGAACTGTCATCGGAATTCTTTACTTCAAGAGGCGTCCGTCAAGGATGTCTATTCTCCCCACTTATGTTTAACTTTGTTGTAGACATCCTTTTAGAGTTAACATTATCCTCGTCAGATTTTTCAGGGGTGGACCTTCTACCAGCAGGATCGCTTATTGACACAGAATATGCCGATGACATAGTCCTACTTGGTGAAGACGCTGACAAAATGCAGTCTTCTGACTATCCTAAGCAACAGCGCAAGTATGTTCAAAATGCGGTTTTCTCTCTCCGAATGCAAAATGTTGCTTCAAGATTGGGTTTCGTCGGCAGATGAACTAGTGATAGGGAGTGAAGTAGTCGAGTGTGTCGATTGCCTCGCTTAGCTCGGGAGTCTCATCAGTGCTGATGGCCTGGTTTGTGACGAAATCTCAGCACGGATACAGAAAGCTCGATTGACTATGCCAACTTGCGTCACCTATGGCGTAGGCGATATATCTGTTTGCTGACCAAAGGACGAGTGTACTGCGCGGTAGTTCGCTCCGTCCTACTTTATGGCTGTGAAACATGGCCAGTGAGAGTAGAAGATATTCGTAGGTTACTGGTTTTCGATCATAGGTGTCTTCGAAGCATTGCTCGTATATCCTCGGACACCCGAGTGAGCAACGCTATTATTAGGAAACGGGTGGTAGGTAAGAATGGTAGATCAATAGATGAAGTGGTGAAACTTCATCAGTTGAGGTGGTTGGGAAATATGTTACGAATGCCCAACCACCGACTGCCTCGACTAGCTATGTTTTGTGGTGTAGGAGTAGGTTGGAAGAAAGCTAGGGTCGGCCAAACCAAAACATGGCACAAATCCATGGAGTCACTGACAAGTGTACTGAGTCATGTTGGCAGATGTAGGCTACCTGGTTGGGATTGGTGAGACGAAAGTCATCAATGGTTAGAGACCTTGAACTACGTGGCTCAAAGTCGTTTGCAATGGCGCAAGTGCATCCACTCTTTTTGTTCTCTCTAATTCTAACCTTCTGAATTCCTCATAATCTCTATCTTTCTTCTACATTTATCTCACAGAATTATACTTTTCGAATCATATCTTCGCTCCCTAATCTTCTCCTTTTACTGCTAATACTTCTATTATTGCTATCACTGTTGGATTTAAACTGACAGTTACGTCTCTGTGTTAATGTGGTATGGCAACTTGAACTGATGTACTTATGTACGAAGTTCTGCATTGTATCTGTCTGTCTGTCTCTCTGTCTGTTTATATATCCATAATAAAAGTAGTCAATATGCTGGCATTAATTATGTTTGTAGTAAATTATTTAATCGATTGTTTTGTTTGTTTTTCAACAAGTCATGTCATAAACACATAAAAAGATCATATTGATGAGATTGTGTTTTTGTTCTGGATGATGATGATGATGAGCTATTGTCAATGTAATAAAACGAAATTGAACATTTAACAAAAATTCAATTACATATGTCATACTTTTCAACCTAGTACTCTGATTAGTTTTTTTACTTGTATATATAATTGTAGTTTTTTGTATATATATATATGTTAGAACTCTGAGCCGGTATCTAACGGTGTTAATGTTTAAATTGATCAAATTCACGGAGTTGCGCAACCTCATACACAGTCTTCGGTAGTAGTTACTGTCTACACCCGAACAGGTTGAACTTCACTGGTCACATCTTCCCACTAGAACTCGGAGTAGATTCCTCAAGAAGCTAGTCACACATTGAAATTGTACATTGAAATCATTAATCAAGACCAAAGGTCCTGGGTTCGAATCCAGCAGGGTGCAGGAGGAGTCGTGGATGCGCACTGCCACTGATGAGTCCCATACCAGGACGAAACGGCCGTCCAGTGCTTCCAGGTTTCTAATGGTGGTCTAACATTGATCGATTCATGGTTTCAAAAAATGTGTAACTTAACAATCTTCACAACCGTAATGCATATATATATGTGTAATCATTTATAATGAAAATGTTGTAATCTAGCTTAACTCTACTCGATTAGATAAGATTACTATGTATCGTATTAGACAAGAATAAATATTATTGGATGAAACTATAACTAACTATACAATCACTTCAATCGATAATTTGTTCATAGTTCATAGTTTAAAATTTGTGTATTATATAAAATAATGGCACAATCGATTTAATACTGTTATGAATAAAAAGATTTGTATTCAAAATAAATTTTCGTTTGTTAAAAAAGGGAAGAAAAAAAACATAGTAGTATGCTTACTGATCGATAGCTTTTAAGTAAAATGGTCAACTGATATACTACTACTACTACTGAGAAGACTGAGGCAGGTTCAATAGATTGTATTTGGCAAATTTACACTCTTAGTCAATTAAAAACGATAACATTACATTGAACACTCCATTTGCACACCATCTTTGAGCCCTGACTTCCAACGCTCCAGCCTTCTTCCATTCCTGCTGTTGCTTCCTTTACTTCCTGTCGGTGCTCTATTTCTTTCTTGCTTTTGCTCTATTTGCTTTCCGTTTTCCTCTTCTGACCGTGGGACTTCTTCTTTCACG